GCGCAGTTCGAGCGCAACTTCGTTGCGCGTGAAACTTGGCGCGAGGCACTACCGTGCCTCTTGATTAGCTTAATATACTTCAAAGTAGACTTCAGAGAACACGTGAGAGATAATAAAAATAAAAAAAAAAGTTTTGAGTAGAGTTTAATAATCAATTTTTAATACATTTTTTATTTTAATAACATTATTATTATAACATTCTACTATATAAAATAAATGAAACTAATATTTCTTATTTAGAAGTTACGATAAATAAAAAAATTGCTTGCATACTTTCGTAATATTAAAGGTTCTACGTACGACTTTTGCTCAAGAATTTTGAGTGTTTCGTTGTGTCTGTTGCTTCTTTTACTGTTCCAACAAACTTCTGAATCGTCATAGTTGCATCTTTTATTATCGGAATGACTTTGCCTAAATGCAAAAAAATATATGTATAAAAATGTATAAAATATATAAAATTCATAATTTTGTATTGTACATATAAAAATTGTGTTTGCTTACTCGTATTATTATAAAATTCATCTATTTTTGTTGAATCGTGTACATTTTCAATAGGCAATTGTAATTGAGACTGCGAGCCAATATCTAAAATATGAAGAAAGTCATAATAAATTCTATTCTTTAAAAATATTTATAACATATTTAAGATTTCAATGTAGTATTCAATACCCTTTTCAGTTTGTATAAAAATATTAGATGTATGATTTTCTGCCTCATCACAAATCGAATCCTCGTCAGCTGAATGTGATTTAAAAATGTTTTAGAAATTGATTTAAAAATGTGCTTTAGAAATGTTATAATAAAGTCAAAGTTTTATTATATAATAGTTATAAAGTTTAATTAGAACTTATTAAGAAAGAGAAATAAAGATATGTAATTATTATTATTTAAAAAAACTTTACATGAGATGAGATAATACGACGTCTAGAGCACATTAACTGTCTATCCTTCTGTGAAACTTGCTGCTTTGATGAAATAGTTACTTTTACATCTTTTCTAGCACTTTGGTCAAAAACGGCTAGTTCACATGAAACAATATAAAGAATCCATATACACTATTACTATATGTTTAATTTAAATATATAATTTTTATAGTTAAAAGTGACTGCAACTTTTGTCAAATAAAACTTCTATTTAAAGTATACAAATAAATTATGGAAATTATTATTTCAAAAGCAAAACTAAAGTGCGGAGAAACTATTACATGCAAGCAAGTTTGATTTAATATATTCAGACTTAAATTGTTCTTTTTTTTTTAAACAACCAAGCAAAACAGGATTTTTAAAATAAAAACAGTTGTGTGGAATGCATCATTTAAAGCAAACTGTAAGACATTTATATAAAATCGTGTTTTATTTAGAGTTAAAATATTTTTAAAATCCATTCTTATGTTTAAATAAATGAAAGGTTACGTTTTCTCTTTCCTGTAAGGCGCGATGTATCTGTTTTAGATTGTTCAGGTATCGCAGTTACTGCAGTCATCGAGGCCTTTAAATTTCGTAATTGTTGTTTCAGTGTTTGCGTTTTAAGTGATTCCTCAATATTCGCAGCTATTTTTTCCGGATCTGCTCCACTATCTGTAAAAGCATAAAGCTGATCTTCCAAGGACTTCAGTTTTGCACACCCATCAGCATATGTCTCTACAATTGAAATTGATATAGATCTGTTTTAGTATTTCATCAAATAATATGTATGTACAAGGAAGCACATCCCTCAGGCTATATTAAATAATGCATTTAAATAACAACTTATTGAAAAATTTGTATTAATAATGATAAAAACCATTAATATCCTGGTAAAATAGAACAGCATTCAATCGATAGATTGATTGGCATCAATTTGGTATAATTTCTTTTGCAAAAGAAGAAAGTAAATCTTCAAAATAAATTTTTCCAACTTTTTATTTGATTCTAACTTCAAAGAAAATATAGTAAATCTATTTTTTTTATAATAAAAAAACATTTGTAAAAATTATTTTTTGTTACTAGTTTTATCATTTATAAATTGAGATAAGAAATTAAAGAAACTCGGTCTAGAGAGCATCTCTTTTTGCAAAAAAATATCATCTCATCTAATTGTAAGCTGAGCTCTTACATAAGAATATTTGATAGTGTAATACGTTTTACTTAGTATATAATTCAATAATAAATTCAATAGTAAATTCAAGTGTAAATGTATGTAGTTGAACTATGTACTACAAAAAGATGCAAGAAATTTATTTTTATGCAAAAGAGAGTATGCCATACGATGAATATTTTTGTAACTTTACTTACCTTTGCTGCTAATCAATTTTTTGTACTTTTCCTGATGTAGATGGTTTAAATAAATGTGACAAACAATAGCAAAAATATAATAAAAATATATTTTACTTTATACTAAACTTACTAGCTCGTGCTCTGAATTTGATGCCGTATGTCACCCAATCATTCGGCGCATCTGCCAATTTTTTGGCTAAATTTGTGATAAGTTTAAAATCTTCTTCTTCATATGGAGGTGGCATAAATTTTGTCATAAGCTTTCCTTTTTTAATATCGTATTCAATCCATTTTATTGGAACAAGGTCTATTTTTCTGACACCTGGACGTCCTCGAGAAATAAACTCTACGATTTGATAATCGCAGAGATCTTCGTTTTCGTCAGAACTCATCTGTAAATAACAAGAGTTATTCTAGCTACATTAATTTATATCACATATTATTTGAATAGTTGATCTCACGACAAGAAATGTTTTAATATGTATAATACAAATTAATGTAGAAATTTTAAAATCACTTGAATCTTAATTAACACATTTTTTCCCGTTCGTTCAATTTAATAAATGCACTATTTACAAAATATATCAATAATATAGATAACTAAAAAAACGAGGCAATACGAGTCAATAAATAAGGTGTACATATATTTTATTGAAATTCTCTCTTTTACAATTATAAAGTGTTTGACTAAACGTTTTGATTCTTGGATAAAATCTTTATCACTAGTAGTAGTACTAATTTTTTCTATGTTTAAAAGTTAAAAATCAAGACGAGCATGTAAAGAGTCAAATAATGCTCGAAAGCAAAATCTCCCCTCCCCTCCAGTTGAGTGTTTTCTTAATGTTTTCTTAATGTTTTTGGATGCCTTCTCAAAAATAAGAGCGACGCGCAGCGATGAAAACATACGTTATGAAGGAAAACATTTGTTCAATATGATTGCTTTTTTTCATTACAAAACTTCGGCTGCATATGTGTATTATAAAATCGTAAAGCGAGGAAATTGGAAAAACATGATACGATGTCATGTAACTGTTTGTATGTGATGACATAAAGTCTATTTTTATTTCGTATTAACGTAACCTGTATTCTAACTAGAACAATTCAAAATTCGGGATATACTCTGACCGTTCGACTTTATTTGCAACAATAAATGAGAGATAAGAGAAGTGATAAATATGTTTTTTTGGTAGAAGCAAATTAGCGGCAATCATACACGCAATCGAGATCCTTTATTATTTTCGTGATACACTTATACATATATACTCGTGTTTATAACACTCAGCAATGATGCATTTTTTGCGCATCACTCTTCACATATTCGTCTAAATTTTCAACTTTTGAACACACACAAAAAATCAGTACTACTGATGAAGATCCAAAGATCAAAACATTTGGTCAAACAATTTGTAAACTGGAAAAGTGAGAATTAAAAAAAAATATACGTACAACTTGTATATATTAGCTCGTATTACCTCATATTTCCAGTTATTTAAATTTTCATTAATTTTCATAATATTTCTTCAATATTATTAATTGTTGTGTAATTAAGATCAAAATAGAAACCGAGTAAACAAAAGACTACAATGACTGTAACTATTCTGTCTCGTGTGCAAATACTTACCTTATTTAAGTGAAGTTAATTTTTCTTCTTATCTATTAGATAATTCCTTGTTCCTATACACCAGATTCGCGTAGTCAGTAGACAAAAAACAAGTGTGATCTTTCAATCAAAAAACAAAAGTGTGATCTTTCACCCTTCAGATCTTCAGACAGTTGCCGGCACCCGGCAGCCGACCGACAAACGCGTCGCGTCTCCTTGTAGACGAGCGAGTGACTATGTTTTTGCCGAGTGCGCAAACGCGGACGCCATCTTCCGCATCATGAGACGATTTGAAATCGTCGTATGGTAATAATTCAAGTTTGTATAGTTTATCTCTCATAATAATTCTTAAATAAATATTAATGCGTACTGTTTCTTGTCAGTATAACACATGGTATTAGAAGAGGCTATAATTCTTCCAATTGATCTATTTTTAATACTTTTTGCGCTATTAATATATCATTAACCATATGATAAAAGTTATCACTTTTATTGATGTAGCAGGCTTAACGCAAATACTCTCTCCAGTTTCTGCTCAAGAAAGTTCAGACGTAAATGCATTATTTTGCTTTCAATTTGTTCTACAGGTACTGTTACTGAAAGTGTGGATGTTTGACTTTGTATTTCCCATATCTTCGTAACATTTGAATTAGATGGATAAGTGTACACTGATTTGAGTATTTTAACAATTCTACCTTGTATGTTCAATACCCAGACGGCACAATGATGTATTTAAGATGTCTTGAAGATATTTCACAGAGACTTTGAATGTGCAAAAGATATCTCGTTAAGACATTTTCGAACGAGTAATGATGTTCAAATAATATCTCAGGGATATGCCTGAGACTGCTAATGTCCACATCAAAAACATGCAAATGATATCTCTTGCAAAAGTTTTAACAATGAGGGGAATTTCGAGATTTCACTCGAATTAGTTTTTGAAGGCCTGATACAGCTCGCCGATCAACCGATGAACTCCATTGAAAGGGACCGGACCTGAAAAATCCTAAGGTNATTAGTGAGATTTGAACTCGAGATCTCCGCAAGCCCATATCCGCAGCCCCTGCACTCAGTCCGCNAGACCACTTGTTTCTTACTAAATTATAATTGTTTTTATCTACTTATTCTTGAGCTATTGTACACATTTTGTTTATTATTTATTTTAATTATTATTTAATAAAAATATTGCAGTGCAATGTATAAATTGCAACTTGAGAATTGATTTT